GTACCATATAAAAGTACAATGGGATCCCATATGTATGCAATGACAGTGACAAGGCTTGACTTATCTTTCGCCAGGAGCATGGTTAGCCGGTTCCAATTCAATCTAGGATTGGAACATTAGAAAGCAGTTAAAAGAATTTTGAGATAGTTAAAAGAGATTGTGAATTACACATTAACATATGGGGGAGGATCGAAAATTGTTCTTAAAGGATATTCCAATGCAAGCTATCAAGGGGATCTAGATGATGCGAAGTCAATATCTGGATATGTGTTCATGCTTGGATGAGGGACTGTTTCTTGAAAATCAAAAAAACATGATGTAATAGCATTGTCCACCATGGAATCAAAATATGTGGCGTGTTGCAGATTAGAAAATATCTTAATCAACTTGATTTTAAGCCAATACAGTGTGGGGCTGTGAGACTCTACTACGACAACATGACCGCTATATGCCTATCTAAGCAGCCCAAATTCCATAAAAATTCCAAGCGTATAAAACCCTTCTTCTATCATCTGCGCAATGAGATGCAGTATGGGGAGATTGACATCAACTACATACCTATCGAGGTGATAAAGCTGATCCACTCACAAAAGAGCTTGTTCCAAATGTTTTTACAAAGCATGTAAGAGAGATGGGTATGAGAGAAAGTGAGGAACAGAGATTATAAGGTCTTTAAAGGCCAAGTAAGAGATATTGAGTTTATGTGGCTTTTAAAGACCTTATGAGATATTGTATAAAATATTTTAAATAAATGAAATATAAACTCAGTGGGAGTATAGTCCTCTTGTGGACCTCACCAAAAAAATGTTATTTGTTGATACTTGGACTCAGCTCGACGAGCTAGGCCAGCAGAGGTTTGAAAAAACCCAAGATACTTGAGCATAGGGATCTAACCAATAAATGTTTAGTGTGTTAACCCTTGATGAGGTCTGTGTATGCTTGGATGAGAGCCGATGGACTGTGTGCCCTTACGTATGATGAATAGCCTTTAAAGATAAGGGTTAAACGCTATCGTTGTATCATCATACGGCAAATACATAGATAGTCGTTATGAGATTCATCAATAAAGGTGAAGCGTATACATGTGCGAGATATTACCACTATATACCATAGAGTCATGGTTGCATCATGGTCTGGACGATCATGATTTTTGTCTTTAGGGGAGAACTTGAAATCCATAAACTGTGATTGCATTCCCTATTCTATTAGCTGACTGTATTAGTCTAATCATGAGCTCCTGTAGTGAACTGTAGGTCATGGGAACTGCTGAGTCAGTTTGAGAAAGCTAGGCGGACTGTGATTCGAAGTTGAAAGTGGAGTGCTCCCATATATTGATAAGTTCCTAGATCTAATGGATCTCATTCCCATCAAAATTAATTAATTTTATATTATGTGTTTTTTAGAATGTTTATTTGAATTTTTATGAATCTTCTGATATTTTATTTATGTCATTTGGATTTATAAATTAAAAAAAATTTAATTTTTCAATGTTTTAAATAAAATATAAGATTTAAAAATTCTAAATACAAAATAAAATATTTTCTAAAATATATAGGACCCTCCATAAAATATGGGGCCCCATATTTAAAACGTGGATTGGGTGGGGCCTACGTGTGGCCACCAAAAAGGTGGCATACCCTACCCATTAGGATTAACGTGTTCATCAAATTGGGTAATAGTTATCCCCTTGTTTGTTGACTTATCTTTTGGATATAGCCAACTTAGTAAATTTAAATGTTTGATGGGAATAGATCTAAGAAATGGAGGATAAGGCTCTAGTTCATCTATTTGAATCTTGATGTTGGATCAAAGAGAAGGATGACTCAAATATCTTACCTCACAAGTTTTTTTAACTTGACAGTTGAGATTTAACCTTATTAATTGAGGCAAAACTTAAGGCATAGAAAATCTACCTCATAAAATTCATACACCTATTCTCTCTTCTCTCTCTAAGGATTTTTATCTCTCTAAGACTTCCCCTAGGGGCACACCCCATCTAGGCTATATCTCTCTCTTAGTTGCTAAGGGTGACCCGCACCACCTCTACCTTGCTAAGGGTGGCACACACCACCAACTAGCCACCTTCTCATATAATAAGGGTGGCACACACCCAACCAGTAGTACCTCTCTCGAGTTCTCTCTTTGGGTGGCACACTTAAGCCTAGGTGGTGTCTTTCTTTTGTAGGTAGTAAAGGGGTGGAACCCCTTGCTAGTAGATATATCTCTCTCTCTTCGATTTCTATCTCTAATCTCTCTAACAATCAAGCAAAGGAGGCTTGATCAAGACTAAGGCATTGAGGCCTTAGATAGTTGGTTCTAGATTGAGATCCATATGTCATATATAGTTAGTTCTTGATTGAGATCCATATGTCATTAGGTCAATTTTTGCTATAATAGGAAAATCAAGAGGCAGATCATAAATCCTGAGCATTATTGGAAGGAGGAGACTCGGCGTGGGGTGTACTAACCCTAGTGGAGGTAATCTCCGACAATTTTACTTCTTTAAATCTTTATTTGTGATTTGATCTTCTCTTCTCATAAAATAAATAAGTCTATTTTTGTTTGTTAAATAAAGAATTGTATTTGAAGAGATAGCAATTGAGAAGCGACTTTATTTTATTTATTTCAAGAGTGGTTTGATTATAATTAAACATTATAAGTGATCTTGCCAATGTAGAAATAAATAAATTTTTAAATATATATACACCGTGCTTTATCACAAAGTCATTTTTTCAGAAAACATACAAGAGGAACTAATAGTTACAGAGGAGCACCTGGTGAAGAAGAGCTGCCTTCTTAACTTTTCATGAATTTTGGAGGCTCGAAAAAATCTATTAGAAACAAAGGTCTCGCACGAAATGGTTAAAGATAGGAGATTGAATTGCGAAGTTCTTTCATGTGATAGCCAATGCCCGAAGGAGACGAATGAAATCTTAGCCTTACAATTCCCTATAGTCCCATAGGGAGTTGTAGACAAGAAATGACGCCATCCTAAACCTCTTTGCCAAAGCTTTTACTAGTGAGCATCAATTTGGAGTGACAATAGGTAAAACCTACATATCAACCTATCTTTTCTAGGCAACAATGCTATTAGAAATCTTGAGCAACCAGTAGACTTTCTCTCTCAAGAAGTGGAATTTAGACCAACTCAAATTTTCATAGGAAAACTATCTCTATATACGAGGTTAAGTCTCCCTCTCTCTCTTGAAGACCCATCTCCTACTTGGGGCCATTTGTTTAAAACTAATTTTTAAATCTACACATTTTTCATTGTAACGACCAATCATAAAAAAGCAAGATTTGAAAACACTACCTAAAAAATATTTTTTAACCCAATTAATAGGAAATGCATAGAATGAAACATTTATGTTTGAATCAAGGAGGTCACAGTCATATTATTATTAGATGTGAAATTGAGTGGTTGAGGACGTGTCATTGATTAGTTATAAAGTCAAAAATAAAATTTTCCGAACGTTTCTGACACACTTCAATATATTAGATTTCACATCCAATGGTTAAAAATGATTGTGACCTCTTTCTACCATAAAGAAATTGTCTCAATGTATACAATCCCCAATCAATATAGGATATCCATATTAGTAAGATGCGTAGATCTAGGTCTTAGAAAGATTTTTTTCCTTTCCAAAATTTTAATATAACTTTATTACCATGACATAAACATTGTTAAAAAAAAGAAAAAAAAAATATATTTTGATTTGATAAAGGCCTAAATCTTGAAATTCACCAAATTGATAATGTAGATTCATTTTTAAAAGGGACTCATTTTTATCATACCTAGAGTGCAAATTAAATTTTATTTTATTTTAAAATTGATTGTTAGTATGAAGATAGTGTATGTGCAAAATTTAGAGTCATACAAATGTCATTACTATAGTCTTCTAGAAGTACATTCTCATTGTATTACGATGACTAGGGTCATGAGATCATTTTCCTAAAATAAATTAAAGCCACAATATATCTAAAATAAATAGAAACCACTTCTATCCACGAGCTCAAATCATGAAACCTCACACACTATACAAGCAAGGCTACGTTGTAGCACATAGGCATCTACCTCCACTGTCCGCCTTGAATGATAGACGGCAGGTTCAGGGCGTTCAATTGTAATCCAGGCACGTTCATTGTGGAGCACTTTTTTAAAAGAAAATAAAACTTAGATTAGCCGAAGAAAAAAGTTTATATTGTGTGAATCTTATATTTTGAAGTAAGGTGCACCTCAAAAACCGACCTGAAAAGGTTGTTCCAATGTTTAAAAACTCTACAATTGAACTTTTTGTTCTCAATATGTATGGCTACAAAAAAAAGAAAAAAAATTCAAGTCTTAAAAATAATTGTTTTTTGTAACACATTATCTAATGGACTCGATTTCTATTTAGCCAAGCCCGCATATGTAGAAATACGGGCTTCTTGATAAATATATTTTTAAGATGGATTTTAAGACTTAATTTTTAAGGCGGTGTAATTTCTATTATGAAGATCATAAATATGAATAATTTTAAAAACTAAAAATAATAATTCTAGTAAGAAAAATTTGGACCGTTTGTTTCCATTATTTTTAGATGGAACACTTTTTTAAAGATGGATGCTTTATACTTTCTGGACCGCATATGTAGAAATGTGTTACAGCCCGCATGAAACATTTTTTTTATCTAATACCGTCTATTTTAAAAAAATTTAAATGTTTATACATCGACTCAATTTTTTACTTTAAATTTCATATTGGTGGTGAAAATAGGCCTTTTTAAGGTTATCGTGAGAGAGTTTTACCAAAACCACATCTTTTCTCAAAATTTAGAGGGGCATTTTAGTGTTAACCTTAAACCCAACCACCCTTAAAATAGGGATTATATACTATAAAACTATTTAATTATTTTTTTTGGGGGTAAATCAGTAGAGACTACAAGAACCTTGATCTTTCAAGGTCACAATTACAACTTTCTATATTTCATACAAGAAAGGCCAAAATTACATTGGGCTACATATGAAATAGGACGGCCTGTACAAGCTGTATCCCGACTTTCGAGAAATTACAATAGGAAAGTATTAAAAGCCATTTGTTGGAAAAGCCATTTTCGCCACGGGTTCTTCTATTCAATCCCTTCTTCATAGTAAAGAACCCTCGACTCTTCCAGCCGGAATTTCACACCGGAATCCCAGGTCCGGGCTGGAAAAACAGAGAGGAATACCCCGTTTATGTCAAAAGCATGAAAGCGAACAAAAATTTTAGCCTTCTTTTCACTGCAACTCTGCCATAACCATAAAGCACCAAACCCAAAAAGCATCACTCCTCTTTTCTCTGTGACTGTTCTGGCAAATCCAGAAAAGCAAAAAACCCATGAATCACCGAACCCAACAAAAAAACAATTCACCATTTCATGTGATGCTCTGAAACGGAATCAGAACTAGAGTCCAAACCCGAAAGTTTCACCGGAAAAAACCCAGCTTTCTACCTGGAAAAAAGACGAGCAAAGGTTCAGTTTGATTTGGCTTGTTCTCTGTGAGTCTGATAAAGCGGCAGGCACAAAAATTGACCGGAATTTCTTGCCGGGATATGCAGGGAATTGACGGAAAACATTGCTTAAGGTTCAGGCAAGCAATGGCGATCAAATGGGTGCTTTCTTTACTACTCTTCGCCTCAACTCTGATAACTGGCAAAACCCAAAAGGCAGCTCGACTTCCTCGCCGGAAAATGCCTGAGACTTATCGCCTGAAAGTGCCTGAAATGGCCGGAAAGTGGATCGCTTGCCTCCTTCTCTTGTCGATCCTGAGCAGCCAAGCATCCAGTGCCGTTATTTCAGGCCCCATAAAAACCGTCGTCGTTCTCGTTATGGAGAACCGCTCCTTTGACCACATGCTCGGGTACATGAAACGGCTCAACCCGGAAATTAATGGGGTAACAGGTACCGAGTCAAACCCCATATCCACCACCGATCCCGGCTCTTCCCGAGTCACATTCAAACTCGGTTCACCCTATGTGGACCCTGACCCAGGTCACTCCTTCCAAGCCATTCGGGAACAAATATTTGGCTCAAATGATACCTCGGCTCGGCCTGCTCCGATGAACGGATTCGCCCAACAAGCATTTTCCATGTCAAATTCAACCGATTTCGTGGGCAACGTGATGAGTGGGTTCGACCCGAGTCAGATAGCGGTTTACCAGTCACTCGTCACCGAGTTTGCAGTTTTTGATAGATGGTTCGCTTCGGTTCCGGCTTCTACGCAACCGAATCGGTTATATGTTCACTCGGCCACGTCAAACGGGGCAACGAGTAACATGGCTTCTTTGTTAGTTAAGGGTTATCCGCAAAAGACGATTTTCGAGAGTTTAGAAGATGAGGGTTTGAGTTTTGGGATTTATTTTCAGAATATTCCGGCAACTTTGTTTTACAGGAATTTGAGGAAATTGAAGTATATCACCAAGTTTCATCCGTATGATTTGAGTTTTAAGGGTGATGCCAAGGCCGGGAAGCTTCCTAATTATGTGGTGGTGGAGCAAAGGTGAGATTTTCCTTCTTGTTTGGGTTTTGTATTTTGTGTATATTTTTGCGCTTGTGAATTGGCTCTGGATCAGGGTTGTTTCCATCTGTGTAAGGGTGGCAAGGGCCCTGACCATTGTACCATAGAGCTGGCCCAGCCTTTGGCTATATTAGGGTTGGGGCTCGGCTGGGTTAAAAATGGATAAAAAATAAAACATTAATATAAGAAAAAAGGAGGGCCAGGCCAAATCTGACAGTCCAAGGGCCACATTTTTTGGCTCGTCTAGTCCTCGGGCCATATTTTGTGGCTCAAGCCCTACTTTCCTAGCTCGTCTGGTCCTCGGGCCATAATTTCATGGCTCAGACCTTACTTTCCTATCTCGTTCGGTCTCGGGCTGCCTATTGCCAGCTCTAACTCTTTTTGTTAGATTAAAAAAAAAACAATTTTTTTTCTCTCATTTTTTTTTTTGAAAAAGTATAAAATTAGATTATTTATTTTGGTACAAGATGATCGTAATTAATCTCGAACATTGAATATGAAATCGAGTGACTGCATGTGAATGGCCTAATTATATAAACTCCATATTTTGCCTCCCAAATCTCTCTCCCACATCACACCCAAAAAAGATACTCTCTTGCGTGCCCGTCTCTTTTTGTTCTCTTCTTTTGTCATCACTACCCCATGACCCTCTTTTTTTTTTCTTGTTTTTTAATTAAAAAAAGTAAAAACCAAAAGTTATGAAATTTTATTACAAAAGATCAGCGCATAAGATAACTCATGGGTTAGTCCTCTTTTAACGCGAAGGAAAGATATCATCACTGTCCCAATACTCTCCCTCTTTGAACTTTTTTCTTTCTCTCATTCATATTCATACGCTTAAATAACCTAAAACCGATGCGTGTTATTCTTCACTAATTCATTCCTTGTAACGAAAACGTACAAGTTTTTAATTAACAACCAAAATCTCTCTCTCTCTATCTCTCTCTCTTATTCTATATTTTCTGCTCAAGTATAACTTTTTTATGATGAATATTATATTTTAATTTTATTCTTTTTCCATATATACAATAAACTCAAATTTTAAGTATTCATGCTTCTTAACATAATTCGCTTATAAAAAAAATTAAAAATATAACTAAGTTAGAAAATGACTAAAATACCCTTACAAATTAAAAATGTTAACAGTTAATTATATTTTCTTTTACAAATGAGAGATGGTGAGAAGTAGCAACTCTTGAGCATAATTTTATGGCACCCACTTCGAAAAGGTCCGTCCTAAGCATAAAATAAAAATAAAATATAAAGAACTATTTCTAAATTTTGTTTATAAAATGAGATTTTTGTTAAAGGAAAAAATTTATATAGGGTTGTAACCTTAAAATGAAGAATGAAAGATGCACCTAAAAAATCCATCCTAAAAAGTAGTTTGGATGTCGGAAAACCCTCTAATTCATCGTCTCGACATCGAGATGTACAAATATGAAAAGAAAAAAAGATTTTGAGTCTGCAAAATAGTGTTGGACCGTTCATTTTCAAGATTTTTATATGTTTGTAGATCTACTTGTTTGATCCATTTTTAGAGTTTCAAATTTTATAATTAGAGATAAAAATAGATTCTCAAGCCATTCTAATAATTTTTAAAGCCATTCTAAGAATTTTTTATATCAAAATTGCATTTATGATAAAATTTAGAAGTGCACCTTGGATTTCCTATTAATTTTTGTGGTTCATAAGTTATAACCTTGAAAGATAAAAACACAGGTACATCGACACTAAACTGACTCCAGCTAACGACGATCACCCATCACACGACGTATACCAAGGCCAAATGTTTGTGAAGGAGGTTTACGAGACCCTTCGATCCAGCCCTCAATGGAACCAAACCTTGTTCATCATCACTTACGACGAGCACGGTGGCTTCTTCGATCACGTCCCCACCCCGGTGGACGGGGTCCCATCGCCGGACGACATTGTCGGCCCCGATCCCTTCTTCTTCCGATTCGATCGGTTGGGTGTGCGGGTCCCGACTATCATCGCCTCTCCTTGGATCAACAAGGGCACCGGTACTGTATGCCTTTACGCTGTGTTTCTTTTTTGCATGAGTGTGTACCATCCACTACTTGTGTATATGATAAGAGGCATTGTCGGCTATGTTGAAGTCCTACACCACTTGTGTATGGTGAGTAGTGGATGGTGCAGTACTGCAAGTTCAAGAGGTGGCAATGGGCTAGGTGGCAAAGCCCTCGAGAACTAGAACCTCAGCAGTAAAAAAAAAACTAGGACCAGGGAACAATAGGCCCAACCCTTAAAAACTAGGTCCTCAGCCCTTAAAAGTAGGACTAGGGTTAGGGCCACAAAAAAGCATGGCCGGCCCAACCCTATTATTTCCTTTGTTTTTTTTTTTTGGAGTGTATTAGGCCTAGTCCGGCTTGAACATGGCTAGACCTAGGCCAACGCTTAGAACTGCCCTTGAACATGGCTAGACCTAGGCCACTGCTTAGAGCTGCCCTATTGGGACAAGGGTTGGGGCTTGGACAGGCCCTCTTTTTTCTTGTTTAATTTTTATTTTTATTGTTGTTTCATTTGTTTTTAGCCTAGCCTGGCCCTAACAAGGGCCCGGCATCGGCGGATCCTAGGGGATATGGTCCGGGCCAAAGGCCAGGCCCTTTGCCACCCTTACTCTTTTTGTTTGAGGATTTCTCACTTAGGTTTACCGTCTTAGATATAGAAAAAGGTTATGTCAATTTCCATGTCTTATTCAAATAACATTTTCCGATGCCTTTTACCAACAACGTTTTGGGAAGTGAAAGAGAAGTTAATTATTCTAATTACAAATTAGTTATTTTTAATAACAAACGAAACACTCTTAGTGTAAAACGAGGACAAATTTTTTGTCTCCTATCTCTCTAAAACCCCCAAGTTTTTCCTTCTCTTTCCTTTTTTTATTCATTTCAAGTATGAAACTTTTAGGCACCCAAAGTCAAGGCCCTTGAAAATGTGAATTTATTTGATGGAAATAAAGAGCATCTATCACTAAGATTATTTAACTAACATTTTGTTCTTAATGGCTTTTCAGTTGTGCATGGACCCAATGGAGTACCCTTCCCTTCTTCGGAATTTGAGCATTCATCCATTCCTGCTACAGTCAAGAAGCTCTTCAATTTATCCTCCCCCTTTCTAACCAAAAGAGATGCATGGGCAGGCACCTTTGAGAGCATAGTGCAAGGAAGAGTTACACCCAGAACTGATTGCCCAGGTCCATATTTAGTCACTGTTTCATTATTTTAGTTCATTTTTTTTTTTTGGGGTAAATTAATTCTTTTAGGTTCATTTGTTGAACTATGTTTCTTTTTTTAAAAAAAAGAACTCCGTTTCGGAATCTGGTGTGGACCAACACGGTTCCTTAACAGAATAAGGAATTATAGTCCATGAATAATAGTCCATTTTATAGGTACTCACCTGATTTTCTTAGGTAACCTGGAAAGTTAGTCAGGGAACCGTGCCAGCCCAAAAGTTTCCACCTGTTGTATTTCTTTATTATTTTTATATTTAAAATTTTCTAATTTAAAATATTACTTAGATTTTTTTGAGTGGTTCCCACACTAGAGAACTCGCTCGATCTGGTCCAGATCAGCGATCCTGATTGACAGAGTCGGCAATCGATCTGGCCACCCAATCTAGGCTTCAAATCGCTGATTTAATTTATTGAATTTTTGGTGATTCAATCTTTAAGCGTCTTAATTCATCCAATCTTTCTTTGTTTAATGTAGTGCAACTTCCTACACCATCCAAGATTAGAATGGGGGAAGCCAATGAGGATGCTAAGCTCAGTGAATTTCAGCAAGAACTTGTTCAATTGGCAGCTGTTTTGAATGGTGACAATCTCTTGACAAGTTTTCCAGACAAGATTGGAGAAAAGATGAGTGTTAGGGAAGGGCAAAACTACATGGAGGATTCTTTGAAAAGGTTCTTCGAGGCAAGTTTTGCTGCAATAGAGCTTGGTGTGGATGAGGAACAGATTGTGAAGATGCGACCTTCTCTCACCACTAGAACTTCTCCAACCACAAATCTTCCCTAAAAACCTAGGGACTTCTTGTAATACCTTTTCATTAATAAAAGTTTATTAATAAATATAGAAAAAGTTTATATAAGTGTGAGGCCCTAATCAAATTAAGGAGCACGTCAAAAATTGAATTAGAAGAGGTGGTTTGGATGCAGAAAAATCTTTAATTGATCATCTCGACCTCAAGATGTATGGACATGAGACAATATGAATTTCAACTATTAGAAATAGCGCATCTTGTAACATATTTTCGGATCGTCAATTTTCAAAATTTTCAAATGTTCATAGATCTGCTCTATTTACATAATTTTTTAACTTTAAATTTTATAATTAGAGATGAAAATAAATTTTTAGGCCATTACAAAGATTTTCATTATTGAAACTTCATCTTTTAATACTATTTAAAGGTGTGCCTTACTTCGATTGTTTAGGGCCTCGGCCTTATACAAATCACACCTCTATTAATATTGGTAAAAAAACACAAAAGAAGAAAGACTTACGGACTTCTCTGAATTCTATGCAATCTTACCACCAATAATAGAAGGCAAGGTTATGAAGGAAAATCCAGTCTTTCGAAAATGATCAAAGAGTTTGATGGGGTCCACCCATATGTGCTACCCATGTCACAGTCACTAGTGGTTTGATGCATAAGCCTAATTTTAGTGTCCACTTTAAGTCCAATGGGTCCATACTTTTGACATTCTGCTTGCGTCACTTTGTCTTCACATGTATGAAGGATAAGGTATATGAGGATCATGTGCTTAATTATCATGAATTTGGGCCCAAGCCTATCCTACGGGGATTCGGGCCGGTGTGCAGCCAAAGTCGATCCGGCCTTAAATGATTGTAACTTTCATGTACAAAAGATAAATGGTCTCTTTATAGACAATTCATATTTTGTATGTTATGTTAGTATTAAAGAAAGATATATATGTTGTATTGAGTAGACTTAAAGGGGTGTGAGCATGTAAGAAAGGATAAAAAAAAGGAATCAGTGATCCTGATCATCCATTCAAAAAATCGATCTAGATCAGCAGATTGGCGGTTCGGATTGGCTATCAGGTTGAGTGAATCGGCCAGTAAAAAATAAGAAAAATAGAGAACAAGATATCCAAAAAATTAAAAAATAGAAGGCATAGTCCATTCTCTGATAAAACCGGTAAGTTCTCATAAAATTGGTCAATTCTGTCATAAACTAAAAAGATTGACTCAAGAACAAATTCAAAGCTCCACTGAGGCTCCATTGTATGTTTGTACTTTTCTTTTTATTTTTTCTATTTTTTTTGGTTGCTAGTTCATCACCGACATACCCTAAATTGTAAAATTGTATTCATATGAAAGGTGGATGCCCAATTTTGGATGTAGGGTGCAGTTGGCATACGGATGTATCCGTAGCTGTAGAGGTAAGATGCACCTTCAAATTTTATCATGCCATATAATTTTGATGTATAATGTTTTTAAGATTATCTCAAAATCTATTTTATATCTAGTTATAAAATTTTAAATTAAAAA